CGAAGGAAGAGAATTGCGAGCTCGTCAAGCGCGTGTAAGAAAATGGCTTGCGCGCTCGGGTATGAGGACAGCTTAGACGGCCAGCAACGCTCTGACTTGCCCCTTTTTCATATTTGGGGTGTAAGCAACCTTCCATGTCAAAAATGGCATGTTCAGTTTCGCCGAGCCACTCCTAAGGTTCTAGAAGAGCAGCTCTTCACCAATATAGTTCTAACCGGGTTTTATATACTGTAAAATCCTGAGCTCATGCTACACTTACGCGGAAGAAGCAATTTTTTTGCACTTTCAAAGCTACAAGAAACGCCTTGGACGCACATCCATAGGATTCACGGTAGAAAACTCAAAATGGAAATTTTCTAAAAATTGCCTTGACAAGCTAAATGTAAAGAGCTTCATCAATCATGCTAAAGCAAAGAAGCTGCAAACTTGCGAACCATTCGTCATCATTCAAGAATCCTGTGAATTCGTTTAGCTTCGGGCAACATCCCGCTTGTGATGTGTCGGCTTTGTTGATATTGATGACAATTTCGGATTTCAACGTTTTATATCGAGAATCTTCAGCTGTTCGAGAAAGGATATGGGGAAAATACTGTGTTCTCTCCATTATTCTGTAAAATTGGCTTGCATCCGTGTTTGACCTGAATAAATCGCCTCTATTTTATGATGAAATTTTCTCTCAAATGCTTGTTATCGTTACTTATGTTTAGGTGAGTAATAATAACGACTTCAAATTACTCATAGTAAACAAAATATATCTGCGACGAAGCTCACTCGATCTGCATTATGGAACCTGGCACCGCGCCATCGTCATTAAAGAGAATTGCGTGGCAATATGGGCTGAAACATCGGCTGTGAATTTAGTTGAGTGATTTTTGTATGTATACGGTCAATGACCATTGAATTGCTACTGCAATCGTTAAACTTAGCCAAGATTCATTCCCAAGATGTATCAACCTCTTACGGGGGGCGGACGTTACTTGTGAGCGGCAACTAGAATTGTCGCAACTCGGCGAAACAGTGAAACCCGCGGGAGAAACTTATCCATAATTATACGTCCTGAATTTAAGGTAATGCACCTTCTTTTCCTATTCTACACACTATAAAGAATTATAAGCAACGAATAACCGTGCTCTGAGCGCAATTACCAGTTATCACTTTGTCGCGCGCGTCTACTGCGAAATCAGCACTCACAAGTAACGATACGCACCCACTTTTACAAACCTGGATGTAAGCAAAAGAATGTCCCTGTTTTTAGCTGATATTTCGACTGTGACTTGTTTTGCATCGTTGACGTCTTCATGATCAAAATCGGTCCAAACCTTAAAATTAATTGTTCTGACTGCATTGATAGTGTAATAGTAACACCCGTTTGAACTGCTCTACTCACATAAATGAATGCATGAGGTTTAAAGGTTATTTACTATTAGGTTGTTTGATCCTAAGATAGCACATGTAGAAGTGAGATTTTGCAGATATACTAGTGCATGTAACGCAGGCCACTCCTATGTAGAGTAAGTGTGTAGAGTAAACCTTTAGCTACATCCCACTTGAGATTACATAGATCTATTTCGAAAATTTTAACACACTACG